CCCGTTCATGCTCTGTCTCTCTCTGTCCCAAAAATAAATAAACGTTGAAAACATAGGCTGAAATTTCTATATTCCAGAATACATCATTTATTCCAGAATACATACATCTATTATAAAATATTGTTTAAAATCATTTTCAGATATTATTGGCACTCTTAGAAAAATGTGTCAGTTTTGGCTTAGAGCTACATCTACCCAGAGGTCCCCAATTTAAGAAGCATAATCCTAGATGAAGGTGATCCAATAAATTCTTTTTTCAGTTTAAATTTGAATTATTGTCATTGAGTTTGGATTATTACCATGTTTCTCAGACATGATCCTTGGGAGGACCATTTACATGGTATATTAAGAAGTGCTTGGGAAAAAAAAAAAAACCCAAAACCATAAAAGTCCAAACTTGTCAGGTTAGTTGACTTAACCTAGAATTTCTCAATCATAAACAGGACTTCTCATAGCACTTAATCACCTAATGTGCTTCCTATCTTCATGTATATACAATTGAGAGATACAGTATGCAATATCTCTGGGAATTTCTTTTTTTAAAGCAGTGTTCTTAGAACTTGTGTAGCATAGAATTCAGAGTGGGATTCATAGGCTTAAAGTGCTATGCCTCTACAAGAGTTTACAATTGTACTTTTTCAGAGAAGTTTTACCATAAAGGCAATGAGTTTTAATGAGTGACTTTTAATCAGTATGGTAAGTGTGCTGGGAAGTTGATTTTTTTTTGGAAGGGGGGGTGTTGGGGAGGAGTTGATTTTTGGTTAGGGAAATTTTCATATTCTCAGATTCCTTATAAGCATGTCATTCCTAGGTTCATTAGACACTTTACCTTGAAATTTTAAGAATTGTAAATTGGTTTTTGACTTACTAAGCTGGCATAAAAGTAAAATGAGTTTAATGGTAGAACTTTTAAAGCTTGTTATATCAACTGTATTGCAACACATTTCCAGTTACAGTCTTAAGCAAAATTTAAAGAAACTGTAGAAAGCATGGCTTGTGTATACTCTGTTAATTAACAAATGAAAACAGTTCATGGTATCCTCTTAAGTAAAAGGGGTTATCTAGTTTCAAACTTTGTAATTTGATCAGATGTTTCTTATTTTCAATTTATATTAATGTTTAAATTGTAAATTTAATCTGTATCTGGACAAGACTTTTTTGTTAAGTCAGTCAAAATTGGATTTCCAGTTTTCCTTGTTTACCTTATATTTTTCCATCAGACTTATAATAAGCAGAGTGAGTGTGCTTTTTTTGTTTGCTTACTTTGCATATGACTTAGAATGCCATTGTTGAAAACACTCTTGCTGTGTGTTTAGTTTTGCTCTAGGACCTTTTAAATGGTAACGTTAAGGTCTATAAAAGTGTTAGAAGAAAGGAGGTTTGAGAGCTCAATTTCACCTTTCTTAAGACTAAGGCAAAGAACTCTAGTTATATATAAATATGTCTAAGAATTGAACAACCTTGGAAGCAATTGAGCATTACTTTAATGACCTCTGGAGTCACCTGTAATTTTTTTTACTTTCCTGAATGAAGTCCATGAGAGTATGGTACTCTTGGAATCTCTGTAGCAAACTGGCTTCATTAGGATTTACCAGTCTGACTTTTTATTTGTCATATAAAGAAAAATGAAGTCAGCTACATTTTGTATGTAGTAAGCATCAATTTTATTTAACACCTGAAAATTCACGAGTATACTATTTAAAAGCAAACTCATTTGTAAGGAAGTACGTTTGAGTTGCTAACTTTGAGACTTTTGAAATTGATACATTAAAAAAAAATCAAAGTAAATGAACAGCCACACTTTAGTCACAATCAAACTTTAGTACATTTTGTTGAAAATCATAATCTGTATGGTAAAGTTAATAAAAATCATGCACATAAATCTTCTTTTCTTTCTTTTAGGTATTGTAGTAAATGGCCTCGTAAATATTAGCATTTCCACTATTGAGAAGCGCTATGAAATGAAGAGTTCCCTGACGGGCCTGATATCATCAAGCTATGATATCTCATTCTGTGTGTTGTCTTTATTTGTGTCATTCTTTGGTGAAAGAGGACACAAACCAAGGTGGCTTGCATTTGCATCCTTTATGATAGGACTGGGAGCACTTGTATTTTCACTGCCAAAATTTTTTAGTGGAAAATACCAATTGGGGTCCCTATTTGAAGGTAAGTTTCTGTTGTGTTTTCTTTCTTTCTTTCTTTCTTTCTTTCTTTCTTTCTTTCTTTCTTT